TCATAACCACATCTAACATCAAGAATCCCATGCTGATGCGCAAGCAATAATTCGGACAGTGCATTCATAGCACCGATTCTCTATCTAGAAACAAATGGATTATCACTTACCTCGTCCACAAATCCCCAACCATCAATTCATCATGAGGATCATTTATATATACAAGAGTCATCACTCTCATAGTCGGGATACATCAGAGACAACAAAAGTTTTCGCTCCCAATTCATTTCGTTGATCACCTGAAACCATCAACTTGCACCTGGCCTACCTATATCCAAGGAAAGAGGACCATTGATCTCATCTCAAGGCAACCATACCACAAGAATTCTCTAATGCATTCCCAGACTACCGTATTGCCTCCAAAAAAACCGCAACCATCTAGCCCAATATTGGGTCTACAACCCAACTCTGAAAGATCACATGTATGCTGTAACACCCCAAGTCCAGGTATACCTTGTGAACCTTAATCTATTGAGAATTTGTTTCATTTAGCCCTTGGTAGAGAAAAAGTGATTAATGGGTACGCGGGGCGTACTAGAGTGTACGCTCAGCGTACTCATGTGTGTTCTTTGGACGCGGAGGCCACCTAGTACGCTGGGCATACTAGGCCCAGAATGAAAACCCTAATTCGAGGTGTTGCCCTATATAAAGGAAGTGATGGCCTCATTCCTGGCCACCATCCCCAGGCACCAAACCTTCCTAACCCTAAATATTCGTCTTCTTGGCTGGAGAGTGCATTGGAGAGCTTGTGAGCATATTCTTGTGATCTTGAAGAGGAGAAGGAGCTTTGGAGAAGAAGAGTGAGAGTCCAGGCTTTGGATCTGAGCTTAGCAGTGAGGAAAGCTTCACATAGAGGTATAAAGCTCCAAGGTTTCTCACTATTTCGTTTTGGGCATTTTCATGGAGTATTTTAGGATTTTGTCCCAAAAGATGGAGACTTTATGAGATAATGAGCTCCAGAGACCTTGATAAACCCCTTTTCAGTGTATTTTGTGGATTTGAGTGATAAAAATCCAATCTTGGACGTTAGGAGTAAGCCATGCATGAGATATGAGCTTCATGAGGAAAGATGATGGATGTTTTGAGTGTTAGTGACCCTATCCGCCATGCAAAGGCTTAAAGTCACTGACTTTATGGATTAAGAGACATTAAGGAGTCCAGATCTGTGATATGAGCCAATGTCTTAACGGATTAAGACCAAAAATGTGAGGATAGTGAAACTGGGACGTACGCTGGGCGTACTCCCAGTACGCACAACGTAGGGGTCGAGCATCCCCGATGACTTGCATGGCAGCCGAGTATGCCCAGCATAGAGAGCTGGTACGCGCAGCGTACTCCCTGCCGTTGACTTTCGGTTGACTTTTAGGGTTTGGTCAATTTGTGGACTATAAGGCCATGAAGGGGTAAAATGGTCTTTTTCCCTTCTGTGAGTTTGTATAAGGGTTAGATTAGCTTCAGTGAGAGCTTTATTAATTAGGGATTATTATCATTGTGTTAGGCGAAGGCTAGACCGGTGATTTGAGTTCGAGACTATCCGAGTACTTACGAGGTGAGTCTTCTCACTATACTTACCCTGAGTGGTAACCTCTGTGTGACCGGAGGGTCTTGTGTGCATATACTGTGATTTGAGTTATCCTGCTTATTTACTGTGTGCTTATTGTGTATGTGCTGTGTTATTGAGTTACTGAGTTAGGACCGGAGGGTCCACAGAGTTAGGACCAGAGGGTCCATCAGAGTTGGGGGACTGGAGGGTCCCACTGAGACACATTGACCGGAGGGTCTTGCAGTGTTATAGCCTCAAGTGGCTAGTGTGTGTATGTGGTATTTTTAGGAACTCACTAAGCTTTGTGCTTACCATGTATGTGACATGTGTTTCTGGTACTTCTCAGGATCACGGGAAGGCGCCGGCTTGATTGTACACACGCCAGAGATTTGAGTCATGAGGATCCGAGATTATTTATATATTCCGTTTTTGGGATATGTGTTGGATGATTTGATACTATAATACTTTTTGAGATGTTTGAATTGAGAAAAATGTGTTTTGAAATATGAAAAATTTGGTTTTATATTTACATTGTTACAAGTTGGTATCAGAGCCTTGGTTTGAGGGATTCGGATGCACCTTCGGGTATATCTGGACTCAAACTGAGGATTTGAGACAATTTTTCCAAAGAAATGAAATTTTCTAAAAAGAGAAAGAGTTTTAAGAGAAATCGAGATGGAGGAGTGTGTACAATCAGCCAGAGCCCGAACGGTGATTTCCCAAAATACCCTTACTTAGTGTGTCATGAGATAATTATGATATGATAGTGATGCATGCTAGAGAATAAGCTAGGTATTACCTATCTTAGGGCTAGGGTTGCCTGATTTGTGATGCGTTAGCTTAGGAGTTGTTGTCATCTGTTATGTGCTAATGAGAGTAGTGAGCAGGAGCAAAAATTTTGAGTCGAGAGTAGTCCGATACTGAGAGAGATAGAGTACTTGGGAATTAGAATCCTAGGAGGAGCACTTGGGATGACTACAGGCCAGGTGTGGAAGGTAGTATTGGGCGCGCACTACTGAAAACACCAGATCTGTATGCAATCCAAGTAAGAATCCTTAGGGAGCTAAGGAACAAGTAGGAATGGGTGATCGAGTGTGAGTATGCTCGAGCGAGTCTCTGATAATTTTGTGTTGTGTTTCAGAGGCATCATAGTGGGTACACGCCATCACCCCGAGCGCAGTGGGACCAGTGACTGAGGAGATCCGGAGGATGATTCATGAGGAGGTGGCAGCAGTCATCCGAGCAGATATTCCTGAGATGTTTGGGTCTATCAAGACCACCCTGATTGAGACATTTGATGAGCGATACGCTGCTATCACTGAGGCTGCTGCTGCTGCCGCCACTACAGTTGTCGCCGCTGCTAGGCCACAGGGAGGTGACTCGTTGTTGTTCTGGGAGTTCAGCAACACGAAGCCACCTGAGTTTGATGGGACACAAGATCTGATTGCTGCGATGAGGTGGATCTCTGATATTGAGGGGTGTTTTTACACATGTTCATGCCCAGATCACTTGAGAGTTCGGTTTGCGCTGAACCAGCTTCGCTTGGGGGCGAAGGACTGGTGGAAGTTTGTGACCGCCAGTTTCACTGCTACAGATCATGCTACGGTGACATGGGAGAGGTTTGTCCAGTTGTTCCGAGACGAGTATGTTCCCCCGGTGGAGAGGGAGCGGTTGGCACAGGAGTTTCTGTCTCTCAAGCAGAAGACAGAGTCAATTACTGAGATTTCGAGGATGTTTCACGAGAGGGCGATGTTCTGCCCTGAGCACGTGTCCACTGAGTAGGCACGTGTGAGTCGATACTTGAGCATACTGAGGAGGGATATACGAGAGTTCGTGGCGAACTCGTCGTACCGAACATTGGCCGAGCTTCAGGCCAATGCCAGGAGGAGGGAGATTGAGCTTGAGCTGCAGACCAGGAAGGAGGAGGAGTCCCGAGGTAGGGACCGGAGACCAGTTCAGTCGCATCCGGCGACGAAGCAGGCTAAGCCCGCTGATACCAGAGCTGGGGGTCAGAAGGGCCGCACTTGTGGCAAGTGCGGTAAGAGCCACGAGGGTTCATGTCGAGCGGGGATTTGATACAAATGTGGGAAAGAGGGGCACATGGCGAAGGATTGCCCCAGGAGGTTCTCGGTTTGCTTCTATTGCAACCAGACTGGCCACCGGAAGGCCGAGTGCCCTCAGCTTGTACAGGGGTCAGCACAGGGATCTACATCTGCTTCCTTGCGTGCTACTGCGAGTCGGCCAACAAAGGCCGAGGTGCCGAGGGTTCGTGGGAGAGCCTTTCAGCTGACAGCGGAGGAGGTCCGTGCAGCACCTGACGTTGTGGCTGGTATGTATTCTTATTATTATTTTCTTGAGATATATTGTGGTGTATAGGTACTTTCCTTGTGAATTCTATACCTGCCTTGGTGTTATTTGACTCGGGTGCGAGTCGATCTTTCGTATCCGTAGCTTTTAGTCGCCACATCAGTATTCGACGTGAGGTGTTGAGTCGACCTCTGAGGGTTTCCATAGCCGACGAGCATGCGGTTTTTGTTACTGACGTGATCCGTCAGTGTACTCTGGAGATTTTTGGTGTTGAGTTCCCGATAGACCTGGTGTCGATCGCTATGGGTGATGTCTGTGTCATTGTGGGCATGGACTGGTTGAGTCGATTTGGAGCCATGATAGACTGCAAGCGTCAGTTGGTGACTATACGAGACCCTAGTGGGGGAGTGCTTACGATCTACAGCGAGGGCACTAGGTCTGGATTAGCCTTCTGCTATGCTGCCCGAGCGAGACAGAGTTTGCAGCAGGGTTGCATGGGTTTTCTGGCATACGTGATGGATACGAGGGTTGCCGCTGAGAGACCGAGTTCTATCTCTGAGGTTCCGATTGTGTGTGAGTTTGCTGATGTTTTCCCCGAGGAGTTGCCAGGTGTGCCTCCCGAGAGGCAGGTGGAGTTTCGAATTGATTTGATTCCGGGTACGGCACCTATTGCCAAGGCACCCTATCGCCTTGCGCCGCCAGAGATGCAGGAGTTATCCTCTCAGCTCCAGGAGTTGTTAGGAAAAGGGTTCATTAGACCGAGTAGCTCACCATGGGGAGCTCCGATCCTTTTTGTGAAGAAAAAGGATGGTTCACACCGGATGTGCATTGATTATCGGGAGCTGAACAAATTGACGGTCAAAAACCGTTACCCACTTCCGAGGATCGATGATCTGTTCGATCAGTTGCACGGGGCATCTTGGTTCTCCAAGATTTATCTGAGGTCCGGATATCATCAGATGAGAGTTTCCGAGGAGGATATTCCGAAGACAGCCTTTAGGACTCGTTATGGGCACTATGAGTTTGTGGTGATGCCCTTCGGGCTCACCAACACACAGGCAGCGTTCATGGACCTCATGAACCGGGTGTGTAGGCCCATGTTTGATCGATCAGTGATCCAGGAGGACTTACACGAGTAGTGGAAAGTACGATGCTAGGCGTGGAAGTGTTCATCGATGATATTCTTGTGTACTCGAGGTCCAGAGAACAGCACGAGCAGCATCTTATAGAGGTTTTGGGAGTTTTGAGATCGGAGAGGCTATATGCTAAGTTCTCTAAGTGTGACTTCTGGTTACGAGAGGTTCAGTTCCTAGGGCATCTCGTTAATCAGAATGGGATATTGGTCGACCCGGCCAAGATTGAGGCAGTTATGCGATGGGAGGTGCCGAGATCCCCATCCGAGATCAGGAGTTTTCTGGGATTGGCCGATTATTATCGGAGATTTATCAGGGATTTCTCCAAGATTGCCGTCCCCCTCACCAGGTTGACCCGGAAGGGCGTTACTTTTACTTGGGGTCTCGAGGAGCAGGCCTCATTTGAGACTCTTCACCAGAGATTGTGCGAGGCCCCGGTGTTAGCCCTTCCCGAGGGGATGGAGGACTTTGTGGTTTTCTGTGATGAATCGATATCTGGGTTGGGGCGGTACTGATGCAAAGGGGACACGTGATAGCATACGCCTCGAGGCAATTGAAGCCTCATGAGACGAGATACCCCAACCACGATCTGGAGCTGGGGGTGGTGGTGTTCGCCCTCAAGATCTGGCGCCACTATTTGTACGGAGTCCGGTGTACCATATACACGGACCATAAGAGTCTGAAGTATCTCATGGATCAACCCAACCTAAATATGAGACAGAGGATGTTGTTGGATGTGGTGAAAGATTATGACTGCAAGATCTTGTACCATCCGGGCAAGGCTAATGTGGTAGCTGACGCCCTGAGCCGTAGAGCAGAGGGTGCTCCGATCCAAGATGTGTGTATGAGGATGACGGTGATGACTTCAGTCTTAGATATCATTTGGGAGGCCCAGGTGGAGGCCGTGAGACCGGAGAACCGCAAGAGGGAGCGGGTGATTGGTCAGGTGTCCGAGTTTGTGACGGATAGTCGAGGGCTTATGACCTTCCGAGGGTAGATTTGGGTGCCCTACACGAGAGGAGCTCGACGTATACTGATGGAGGAGGCGCATAGATCGAGGTTCTCGATCCATCCCGGGGCCACTAAGATGTATTTGGATCTGAAAAGAGATTATTGGTGGCCCTGTATGAAGAGGGATGTTACTTGGGTAGTTGAGAGGCGTTTGACCTGCCGTCGGGTCAAAGCAGAGCACCAACACCCACATGGTCCATTGCAGCCACTGGAGATTCCCCAGTAGAAGTGGGAACAGATCTTTATGGACTTCATCACCAAATTACCGAGGACTGCGCGTGGAGTTGACACAATTTGGGTGATAGTGGACCGTTTGACGAAGAGTGCTCACTTTCTTGCTATTAGTGATAGCTCTTCTGCGGAGAAATTGGCTGAGATCTATGTGAGAGAGGTGGTATCTCGGCATGGGGTGCCGATCTCGATAGTGTCAGATCGAGATGTGCGTTTCACTTCCAGATTCTGGAAGAAGTTTCACAAGGAGTTGGGCACGCGCCTGCTTTTTAGTACTGCATACCACCCGCAAACGGACGGGCAGAGTGAGCGGGCGATTCAGACACTCGAGGACATGCTGCGTGCTTGCGTCATGGACTTCGGAGGAAGTTGGGATTCATAATTACCCCTGGCTGAGTTTTCCTATAACAACAACCACCATTCGAGCATTGGTATGCCTCCCTTCGAGCTTTTGTATGGGAGGAGGTGTCGGACTCCTATTTGTTGGGGGGAGGTGGGACAGAGAGTGATGGGTGGCACCGAGATAGTGCTGAGGACGACTGAGCAGATCCAGCAGGTTAGACAGAGATTACTAACGGTCCAGAGTCGCCAAAAGAGTTATGCGGACAGGCGACGATCCGAATCAGAATTCCAGGTCGGAGATTTTGTCCTCCTGAAGGTATCCCCGTGGAAAGGGGTGATCCGATTTAGGAAGCGGGGCAAGCTGGGGCCCCGATGTATCGGTCCTTTTAGAGTGACCGCCAGGGTAGGCAGAGTAGCCTACCGGTTGGAGTTACCTGCAGAGTTGAGTCAGATACATAACACCTTGCACGTGTCCCAGTTGAGGAAGTGTGTAGCCGACGAGGCGGTAGTGGTGCCATTAGAGGACATTTAGGTAGATGCGGGCCTGAATTATATTGAGAGACCGATTCCGATTTTGGGTCGGAGGGTGAAGGTTTTGAGAAACAAGGAAGTGCCCCTGGTTCTGGTCCAGTAGCAGCATCAGAAGGGGTCCGAGTCGACTTGGGAGTCGAAGTCGGAGATGCGATAGCAGTATCCGGAGCTATTTGCGGAGCATGACTTTGAGGGCAAAGTCTGATTCTAGTGGGGGAGAATTGTAACACCCCAAGTCTAGGTATACCTTGTGAACCTTAATCTATTGAGCACTTGTTTCATTTGGCCCTTGGTAGAGAAAAAGTGATTAATGGGTACGTGGGGCGTACTAGAGTGTACGCTCAGCGTACTCATGTGTGTGCTTTGGACGCGGAGGCCACCTAGTACGCTGGGCGTACTAGGCCTAGAATGAAAACCCTAATTTGAGGTGTGGCCCTATATAAAGGAAGTGATGGCCTCATTCCTGGCCACCATCCCAGACACCAAACCTTCCTAACCCTAAATATTCGTCTTCTTAGCTGGAGAGTGCATTGGAGAGCTTGTGAGCATATTCTTGTGATCTTGAAGAGGAGAAGGAGCTTTGGAGAAAAAGAGTGAGAGTCCAGGCTTTGGATCTGAGCTTAGCAGTGAGGAAAGCTTCACATAGAGGTATAAAGCTCCAAGCTTTCTCACTATTTCGTTTTGTGCATTTTCATGGAGTATTTTAGGGTTTTGTCCCAAAAGATGGAGACTTTATGAGATAATGAGCTCCAAAGACTTTGATCTACCCCTTTTCAGTGTATTTTGTGGATTTGAGTGATAAAAATCCAATCTTGGACGTTAGGAGTAAGCCATGCATGAGATATGAGCTTCATGAGGAAAGATGATGGATCTTTTGAGTGTTAGTGACCCTATCAACCATGCAAAGGCTTAAAGTCACTGGATTTATGGATTAAGAGACATTAGGGAGTCCAGATCTGTGATATGAGCCAATGTCTTAACGAATTAAGACCAAAAACGGGAGGATAGTGAAACTGGGACGTACGCTGGGCGTACTCCCAGTACGTGCAGCGTAGGGGTCGAGCATCCCCGATGACTTGCATGGCAGCCGAGTACGCCCAACGTAGAGAGCTGGTACGCGCAACGTACTCCCTGCCGTTGACTTTCGGTTGACTTTTAGGGTTTGGTCAATTTGAGGACTATAAGGCCATGAAGGGGTAAAATGGTATTTTTCCCTTCTATGAGTTTGTAGAAGGGTTAGCTTAGCTTCAGTGAGAGCTTTATTAATTAGGGATTATTATCATTGTGTTAGGGGAAGGCTAGACCGGTGATTTGAGTTCGAGACTATCCGAGTACTTATGAGGTAAGTCTTCTCACTATACTTACCCTGAGTGGTAACCTATGTGTGACCGGAGGGTCTTGTGTGCATGTACTGTGATTTGAGTTATCCTGCTTATTTACTGTGTGCTTATTTGAGTTATCCTGCTTATTTACTGTGTGCTTATTGTGTATGTGTTGTATTATTGAGTTACTGAGTTAGGACCGGAGGGTCCACAGAGTTAGGACCAGAGGGTCCATCAGAGTTGGGGGACTGGAGGGTCCCACTGAGACACATTGACCGGAGGGTCTTGCAGTGTTATAGCCTCGAGTGGCTAGTGTGTGTATGTGTATTTAGGGAACTCACTAAGCTTTATGCTTACCGTGTATGTGACATGTGTTTCAGGTACTTCTCAGGATCACAGGAAGGCGCCGGCTTGATTGTACACACGCCAGAGATTTGAGTCATAAGGATCCGGGATTATTTATATATTCAATTTTTGGGATATGTGTTGGATGATTTGATACTATAATACTTTTTGAGATGTTTGAATTAAGAAAAATGTGTTTTGAAATCTGAAAATTTTGGTTTAAAATTTATGTTGTTACATATGCTCTCTCTTTCCTCCGAACACAAAAATGTGGAAGAAAATAAACCCCACCATAGATAGTGACATTCCAATCCATCTGCCAATCATTCAGCCTCCGACTAGAATCCTCGATTTGATCATAACAATCGCTTATTTCTTGAGTCCCGCGACTCAACTGGCACTACCTCGAGCAAGGCCCTCAAGACCTCAAGATTAACTAACTCAGACAGGTATGTAGCTTTCAAACTACAAAACTGACATGGCCACTGATGCCTAAATAATCACCACACCCATCCTCAGCCTGAACAAACATAACCAAAAAATCGATAGATATAGAAACACTGCCACGAATCATGGTATCAAACTGTAACACTAGTCAAAATAGGTCAATAACAATCACATGTGATTATACCAATCATGTAATGTGATCTTGTTAAACTAGTAATGTGATAAACTTACTATGTAGAACCTGATAATTCTAATACAAATATGAACTTTCATACATATTTTAATGATACAAATCAAAGTATACGTCCATACGATTCCAAAAAATAGAGAGAACGTCGAAATGGCTTCGCGTGAAGAAGTTATGATAAACTCTAACACTATAAAATCTCTATACAAGAGGATTTAAAATAGTCTTAGAATAGCTATTGGAATCTAATAGAAGAGTTTTTATTACTCGGAATTACCTACGCGTGGATATAAAGAACGTCAAAAACGGAGTTCGTATGCAAAAGTTACGACCTTCCGAAGTTACAGCTGTCTTAGAGCATGACACGTGTCAGAAAGCCTAATCTGACTGGACTCACGACGTGAGCATAAAAACCCACGATGTGAGGAGTCACACCGCCACAACATTTGAAGCTAGAAGTCTACGGAACGATAACCCAAAAGCTCACACGACGTGAGCAGGTTTTCTCGAAGATGTGAGGACGCTGCAGGACACTATTCGAGGCTAGAAACACACGTTAAAGCTACTGGATGACTCTTGCCATAGCTCACGACGTGAATCTATCATTCTCACGTCGTGAGGGCCAAATCAGCCTATAAATAGAGCCCTTCGACCTCAACCCATTCCTCACACCCTATCTCTCTCTCTCTTCTCTCTCGTTTGCTGAAGCTGTTTCGCTTCCCGAGCCCAGTGATCGCGAACCGCTGACTGTTTTCAGTTAGATTCTGTCGAAGCACGATATTAAGGTGAGTTTCACGACCCCACTTTCTAATATTTTCGGGGGGAAACGCATGCTAAATATTGTATATACGGTACTATTATGTCTATATGATATAATTAGTATCAACGTAGATATTTATATATTACCGGATATAGTTTGTTCTAAAATAATATTTTGAATATATACACTATTACAACTTGTTAGCATGTTCTTGTATTAATGTAGATCTTGAGTTATACTTAGGATTCTATATAATGTTGTGTGCGATATAGTTCCGAAGTTTTATTCGGGAGTTCTATATGTTAAAAAGTATGTTGCTATTATTGTTTTTTATGTCAAGATAAACCCTGATATGTTATATGCTATTATTGTTGGTTTATGTCAAGATAAAACCTTGATAGGTATATATTATTGTTGGTTTTATGTCAGATAAAACAGGTTTTTACTTCAAATTATAGCTGTTATACTGCCTAAAGGTTATGAAACTTAGGAGTAAATGTTTAAAAGCATAGTCTAGTAACTTAGGGTTTTAGACACGAAAATGCTTTTGTTATTACAACTATGCTTTTGTTATTACAACTATACAACTACCACAAGGTGTGATCCTTGTAATAATAATAAGAGGTATAAAACTAAGTCATACAGTCGCAGCTATAGACTTATGGTAGCACAACTTTAGAAGCATTATACTTTGTCGATATACAGTGTGAATGTTAAGTATAAGTTTTCTCAAAGACTTATACTCTAGTATAAGAATCTAGTAGGTATATTACTTGTATATTAAGTAGACCACTATGCCTATCCTACTTACTCGTATAGAATTGAAATAGATTTATACGTAGCGGTTTTACTCGTATAGAATTGAAATAGATTTATACGTAGCGGTTTTTTTTATCGTATAGAATTGAAATAAGATTTATACGTAGCAACTTAGTTTGTATGGAATTACAAACATTTATATTTATAATATATGATACTTATAGGTATATACTTATTTGGTAAGTAAACCATTATACCTAGGATATATATACTAAAGAGAGTCAAAATGATACTTTCAAAACTATACTTTTGAACTTGGAAAATGTATTATTTTTAATGGAGTCAAAACTGTGGACTCACCAACTTATGTGACGTATTTTAAAATGCATGTGTTTTTCAGGAAGTTGATAACTATGATACGAAAATGACGTGACAAATAACACCCGCCCGGTGTTTCCGCCGATGGCCGGGGTGTGACAGATTGGTATAAGAGCTATTAACTATAGAATAGTACTTTTCTAGGGAAGCATGCCTATAGTTTAGGGCTTACAATGTTAGGTTTAGGTATATCCCTTAGCCTACAATATACTATTATTAATTATACTACTAAAGGACTACTTACGGGAGCGGTGATAGGATATACATGTCGCTTGGGTTGTTGGATTTCAGAATGGCTATATGCTAAAAATGATCCTACCCTCCGACTGTTCTGACTGGCCGGTGCCTTATCAGCTAGCCCTGAAGTAACGAACAATAATTAATAGAGCATGAATATAACAATATAGAGTCCTATATGAAGACTCAGACCCACGATGATAATACACCTAAATACCCGGAATGTTTTTGATCTCAAGGATTTAGTTCAGATATTCCAACTAAAGTTCATATGTGCATAGATCTTATCACAACTAGGTGTAGGTGTACAGCTATATTTTATTATGATCAGATCATATTAACTATTTAAATTGGGAGTAATATTTGATAGACTAAACACTTGGTGATCCAAAATGTATAGGAACTAAAAAAATGCCAAGAAGAAGTAGCACTCGTCTAAACCTTAACCAACGACCAGAACCACAACAAAAACAACCGCAACCACCACCACCAGAAACAAACCCTCCAATAAGTTCAACAGAACTTGAAGAAATCATAGCTCAGAGAATCGCTGCAGCTCTAGCTAT